GAAAATTTGTAACCGTTAGAATGTTTGGCCTTCCTTAACTTACATGATGGGACCAATTCTAGTGCCCTTGTTTTCATGAAGTTAATGATGAGGACTCCGATCATTATTTCCGTGTCATTAGCCATAAGTTACTTATTTTAAAGACAAGAAATTATGCACTACGCATTCACGCTATGGGATGCTCTACCGACTGAGCTACCGCCGTTACGACATAAACCCGTGCTGACTGATTAAAAATAGATAAAGCAATAGTAAAATCAGTGGGCATTTGGCGAATAGGCTTCCGTTACAGTTAAACAACAGTATTTGAACAGACAGGCGTCACTCTTCAGCTGGTCGAACAGTAAAAAGATAAATAAATAAAGCACTGACTACTTCGGAAATTCAGTTAGTTCAGGAAGGTAAGAGAAAAGTGCTAACTAGCCAGTGTATAACTGTTCTCACTTAGTTATTTAATCGATCAAATTCGATACAGATATCTTTTGTGTGAAAGATAGACGGTATCACGTCTCCTAATCACGCTTAATTTGCTGCTTTCGAGTATTCGCCTCATTTTAAGCGACCGAGGTTTTTCAGACGGCAGAACGTCGGACTCAGAACCGAGAGGGCTCGGGTGCCAGCCTCGGTCAGGGTGACTATCCATTTTTCCTTTTGAGGTGGAGAAATGCGTACCGCACTGCCCAAAGAAAGCAGGACACTTCACCATAAGGTTTCCACATAGGCTGTAGATTGTGGCTTTAAAAATTCATACCTGACTGGTGGCATAGAAAGGGAGATCAGCGCCGCGCCACACCATAAGTCATATGTAATAAAGGACGCCAAAAATTGCTTCAAACTGAAAACGTGTGGGAGATCGATTTCCAAACAGTTACAAAGATTCTTTTTTTGCTTTTTCACCTTAACATCTCATGACGTCATCCAACATCTTGTGATTCGTATTGCTTATGTACAGTCTTTCCTTTCTGATGACAGTAGAACCAAGACACTGTTACCCGGCAATGGCTCATCCAATCATCCATTCGTTCCTTTACACGGGTCATTTTTCCATTTTTCTGAAGAGCTAAGAGTTAATTAACTTTGAGACAACTAAGCGACAAACTCTTCAGTGATCGTCTGAACGACAGTAATTGATGTCGCCTTGTTCCATAGCAGTGACAAGGGAACACCGTTAGTTATAACTGATTAAATATTAAATATTAATTTATCTTTGCTAGTTACTTTGATCTCTAATTTGAACCAACAGCTTCGCTCCTCTGGAAACCGAGTTTGAATGACGACTTGCTATGCTGAAACAAGTTTGTTGTTTTTAAAGTTTTTTTTATGTATTTTATGGTAGCAAAGCATTATCCGTCACGCTTGCCGCCCCCTTCTATCAACGCGTTCTGATTGATCCATGCGTCACTTTTTTGGCCGTCAC